GGCATTTAGCCCATTAACATTCAGGGTAAGTATTGAGCGATATGAATTTAGTGCCATTGTGTTGCCTGTAAGGTGACTGTTATTGTATATTGTCTCTGTTTCTTTCTGATCTACTACTTTTAGGGTCTCTCTTTGCTTAGAGGACCCCTTTCAATATTTCCTGTAGAGCTGGTTTGGTATTTGCAAATTCTTTCAGTTTTTGTTTGTCCTGGAAGCTTTTAATCTCTCCTTCTATTTTTAATGATAGCCTAGCTGGATATAGTATTCTTGGCTACATGTTTTTCTCGTTTAGTACTCTGAATATATCATGCCAGCTCTTTCTGGCCTGCCAGGTCTCTGTGGATAAGTCTGCTGCCAATCTAATATTTTTACCATTGTACGTTACAGACTTCTTTTGCCGGGCTGCTTTCAGGATCTTCTCTTTGTCACTAAGACTTGTAAATTTTACTATTAGGTGACGGGGTGTGGACCTATTCTTATTGATTTTGAGGGGGGTTCTCTGAACCTCCTGGATTTTGATGCTTGTTCCCTTTGCCATATTGGGGAAATTCTCTCCAATAATTCTCTCCAATATACCTTCTGCTCCCCTCTCTGTTTCCTCTTCTTCTGGAATCCCAATTATTCTAATGTTGTTTCGTCTTATGGTGTCACTTATCTCTCGAATTCTCCCCTCGTCCAACCATTAGAATGAAGGTTTTATTGAATCTGTTGATCACTTTAAGATTGCCATATTAACAATATTAAGTACTCTAATCTGTGAATATGGGATGTTTTTCCATTTATTTTGGTTTTTAAAAATTCCTTTCAGCAATATTTTATAGTTTCCAGTATGTAAGTCTTTCACCACCTTGATAAAATTTATTTCTGATTCTTAATTCTTCTTGGTGCTACTGCAAATAAAATTGTTTTCTTGATTTCTTTTTTGGATTGTTCATTACTGCTGTACAGAAACACAACTGATTTTTGTATGTTGATTCCTTACAACTTTGCTGAATTTTTTTATTACCTCTAGTGGTATTTATGTATATTCTGAGATTTTTAATGTGCTGTTGGATTTGGTATATTAATAATTTTTTAAGATTTTTACATCTATATTCATAAGGTATATTGGTCTGGAGTTTTCTTGTACTGTCCATGCCTGACTTTGGTATCAGGATAATGCTGATAGAGGTTTTTATTTGTAAAATTCTTAGACGGTAAGGGCTACATATATGCCACATATTTCTCTCCAGGTATACCACTCTGTAAAGATGAGCCCATTATGGTGATAAGAACTCTATAGAAGTAAAAGGGGAAAATTAAATCAGTGTCAATTTATTATGATTTTCCTTTTTTTAATATTTTGTTTATTTTAAAGAGAGAGTGGAAGTAGAGGAAAAACAGAGGTGGAGGGAGATATAGGGAGAAAGAATCTCAAGCAGACTACACACTGAATGTGGAGTCCAATGCAGGGCTTGGTCTCAAGACCCTGGGATCATGACCTGAGCTGAAACTAAGAGTCAGACACTTAACAGATCGAGCCACCCAGGCACCCCAATTTACTATAATTTCCTAATATCAATTTCTCTTCAAATCTTTGAGAGAAAAGTTTAGGCTTAGGCTGTTAATGCAAAATGACTCAGAAATACATGACTTTGGTTATTTTTTCTTTTTGGGAAAATTATTTTAAAACCTGTAATGCTCTATTGATGGAATTATTTAAGTTTCAAAAGCACTTGTCATAATATTTTGCAAAAATGATTTATTTTGGAAAGAACTCATGTATACCTGTTGACAACTATAAGAAAGTTAAAGTTTCAAGATCTGTGAATGTTCTTATCTGTCTGTCCTTCCCTACCTCCAGTAGTTGTTGCTTGTTATTTGGGTTCTCCAATTCTCTAATAATCTTTTATGATTAGTACTTAACCCCAGCAAACAAAAATATTCAAGGCATTCTGACAGATTTGATGAGGAAAAGAAATTTTATCAAGAAGAGATGAGCTGTTAGTATTATTCTCAACTCTGTGCTCAGATTCATAATATGGAAAAGGATATAAAACATCTAAGATAAAAATCAGAAATTGTTAATTCAGTAAGCATTTAGCTTATATGAGCTAGCTGAAGTGTACAATCATGTGTCCCATATCAGTAAAGGTTTGTTTTCCTAAAAAGGAAATAGATGATGTTACTAAATAATATAGTGGTTCTATAAATTCTAGATGCTAGAGTAAGACTGGCCCTATTCAAAACCTGGCGCTAGTGCTCTGATAATGTAACCTTACGCTCCTTAATCTTTCTAAACCTTGGTGCTTTGGCAATAGAATAGGGATCATGACAGTCCCTACCACACTCAGTTGTAAGGCAGTGTTAAGAAAAATAGTAAATTTTTAATAAAAGCTTAATTATCTTTTCTTGTAGCTAAAAGCTATGGAAAAAACAAAGGATATAGTTATTAATATAACTGAATAAAGTGTTTGCTTTTAAAAATATATTGATGTGGGGCGCCTGGGTGGCTCAGTGGGTTAAAGCCTCTGCCTTTGGCTCAGGTCATGATCCCAGGGTCCTGGGATCGAGCCCCACATTGGGCTCTCTGCTCAGCAGGAAGCCTGCTTCCTCCTCTCTCTCTGCCGGCTTCTCTGCCTATTTGTGATCTCGGTCTGTCAAGTAAATAAATAAAATCTTTAAAAAAAAAAAATATATTGATGTACTTGGGAAAAGTTACATAAGGTAAGTTATGTGAACATTCATATTTTTATACCTATTTGATAATATAAAGAAGAATGTGTGCTTCTGTTATACATTCATTTCTAATACAATGTAACTTAATCTCATATTACAAAAGTTATTTCCAGAAAGGGGAGTATACAATGAAGAATAATCATCATAATCTATAAAATTCCATTAAATATTCAGCTTTTTTTCAAATACTATTTTTCTCATCAGTTTTTATTTGCAGTAATAAGGGAACATTTCCTTCAAAAGGCACTGTTGCCTCACAGAGGCTCTCACACTGATGTGTCATTTAAAAATAGGGATACTGAATCCTTAACACTTTTTCCTCCCTCAAAAGCAGTCTATACCAAGTAAAAAATGAAGCAGGTTTACTGATGATTTTCTTATTTATCTGTTCTATGCACTGTTTTAGAAAGGATATAAGACTTAAATTATTTCATCTGATTTTAATACCAATTAATTCACTGAAGAAAAAAGCCCAATCAAATCATATTATGTTGATGAAATAATAAATTAGTTTTTTTTAAACAATTCTTCTTCATGTATTTTTGTAGGAAGTCATACTATTTGAAAGACATATTCTAACTTATTTTTGTGTAGATTTTAAGAGGGACTAAATACTGAGTACTTCAGAATTGTTTGGTCTAGCCCATCAACACTTATTGGATACTGAATAGACAACAGGGACCTCCAAGTATGTATTTCAATTAAATATTGTCACTTTTTTTTTCTTTTTTAAAGAGAGAGAGTGTGACTGGGGAGGGACAGGGGAGAGAGAATCACAAGCAGGCTCCCTGCCCATCACGGGCCCATCCTGGGGCTCAATCTCACAACCCTAAGATCATGACCTGAGCTGAAATCAAGAGTTGGAATCTTAACCCACTGAGCCACTCAGGTGCCCCTAAATAATGTCACCTTTATTGACAAAATGATATCTCTTGGTTTGCTACAGGGTATGGTACTTCTCAAACTTTCCCCCTTAATAATACTTTGTATAACCCTCTACATGCCCCCTTTCAAGCAGGGTTCACATTTATAAATAAGTGTTTGTAATTACTGCACTTTTGTTAGAATACCTGTTCCAAGAGGACAAGTCCATCTTATTACTGCATCCCCAAATCTAAATCATAGTTGGCGCTTAGCAAGCATTTAATACGTTTTTATAGCATGAAGGACTTTCTGAAATCACCTCTGATGGCCAGTAGTCAATGCATACCTCCTAAGATATGGGGCATAGTCCAAAGCTGCCTCTATCAGAAAATATCTTTCAAGGGGTGCCTGGGTGGCTCAGTCGGTTAAGCGTCTGCTTTCGGCTCAGGTCATGATCCCAGGGTCCTCGGATTGAGCCCTGTGTTGGGCTCCTCGTTCAGCGGGAAGCCTGCTTCTTCCCTCTCCGACTCCCCCTACTTGTGTTCCCTGGCTCTCTCTCTCTCTCTCTCTCTCTATCAAATAAATAAATAAATAAATCTTTAAAACAAACAAACAAACAAAAAAAAGAAAATACCTTTCAAGACATCTGTATTATTTACTTTTAACACTCATGTGACTTTAACCCAGATCCATTACATGTTTCTTTTAATGTATGTTATTCTAAAGAAGAACTGATACATCATGGATAAACAATTTTAAGGATACAGCTGTGTATGAATGTAGTGTATGGGCTACATTTGATTTTTAGCAAATATCTTAAGTTAGTATCTAAAAAATGGGTTTAAGAATACTTACCATGGGGGCACCTGGGTGGTTCAGTGGGTCGAGCCTCTGCCTTCGGCTTGGGTCATGGTCCCAGGGTCCTGGGATCAAGCCCCACATTGGGCTCCCCACTCAGCAGGGAGCCTGCTTCCCCCTTCTCTCTCTGCCTGCCTCTCTGCCTACTTGTGATCTCTCTCTCTCTGTCAAATAAATAAATAATTAAAAAAAAAAAAAGAATACTTACCATGAAGGTTTTTATTGTTTTTTGAGAGAGCAAAGTAAAAATGCACTTAAAATACTTGGCATGCATAATAAGTACTTAAATATGGGCTCCCTTTATCTTTTTTTTTTTTTTTTTTAAGTAAACTCTATGCCCAACATGGGGCTGGAAGTCAGGACCTGAGATTGAGTTTCATGCTCTACCAACTGAGCCAGCCAAGTGCCCCAGCCCTTTTACCCTCTTACTAGAAATCTTCTAGATTCCCTTATAAGAACCTCAATTTATATCTGATTCTTCTCATTAAGTATACATGGTCAATAACTGTCAACTAAGAAGTAAAAGTTCTCAACCCTTGAGCAAGGATTATGGCTAATCAACTATTAAAAAATCCTGCGCCTACTGAACAACTCATAGAGATGAAAATTTTTTACCCAAAATTTTTAACCAGTGCCAACAATGTCCACAGAGAATTTAAATTGAATTAATTTTTATTACTACTTATACTTAACACAAGTTTACTGTCTTAGACAAGTAGGAATTTATGGAATCTGCTTTATTGCACTGGACAGAAACTTGAAATATAGTTATGTCGACATATTGCAATTTGTGGGAAATGAGAGATGATGTTCTCTGGAATATATGAAGATTCTCAATGATTGTTGCAAGGAATCACAAAAGAGATCTTTGGTCCAAAGAAGATATCTCTGAAAGAAAACAGGACATCAGTTAAATTCTGCTGAAAACTAAGATATCTATTAGTCTTTACTGGGTTAAAAATGGACAATGATTTCCAGGATTTCAGACGTAACTATTCTTTTTTAGGAAATAAAGTACAAAGAGAATGCGTGGGAGGATTTGCCACAGGAGCAACAAAGACCAAGAAGGTGATCAAGTTTCCTACTTTCCTCCCCTTTGCCATTGATATTATGCTATCATTTATCTATTAGGAAAAGGAAAAATTAAATGATTTCAAAACCTTATGATCATACCAAAAGTATTATTTCTCTGATATGAGTGGGGATGGGCCATGAAGTTTAAATCCATAGATAAGAAACAGAAGGTTAAAAAATTCTTAGAAAGTCAATAAATAAATTTCTACATTTTATAGGAAAAGGACAAATGTTAAGCTATTCAACTCTACTGTTATTGAAAAGATCACATTAGGTAAAGTATAAAAATGCATGAAAATAATATAAAATTGTATCATGATTATGGCTCATTAGAAATATACTTAGTATGTAAACTGTAATGTAAGTATCATTTATCTGGCTGTGTCATATATTTGAAAGTTGCTAAGAGAGTAAATTCTAAAAGTTCTCATCACAAGGATAAAAAATTTGGGGTAACTAATGAAGTAATGGATGTTAACTAAATTTATTATGGTAATCATTTTGTAATATATGTCTGTCAAGTTATTATGCTGTAAACCTTAAATATAAACAGTGCTCTATGTCGATTATATCTCAATACAAATGAGAAGAATATAGGATGGCAAATTAGAATTTTTGTTTATAGGGGTAAAAAAGGAAATATACTTAGTAAGATAAATCTGTTGGTACTGGGGAAAGGGTAACTAAAATCAGATAGAAATTACTTTTGTGTATCCAGACTTCTACTACCCATTAACACAGATGGTCAAAAAATTATATCATAAATTAAATACAAGTACTTCTCAATAAATTGGCTTCAGGTCTTACAATTACAAAAGAGCAAACATGGTATTTTAATATTAAATAGCATTTCATTTATGTAGTCTGGGAAAAATTAAGGCATTTTAATGGAATTATTTCACTCATGTTCTTGATATCATTTAGTACAAGCGATTCTTAAACTTTATCATGCATCAGAATCACCTACAGGATTTGTTAAACCATAGCTGCTATGCCTCACCTCCAGTCTTTCTAATTCAGTAAGTCTGGTCTAGGGCTCGAGGATGGATATTCGTTTTTAAAGAGAACTAGGTGATATTGAAGCCGCTGATCTGGGAACCATACGTTAAGAACCAAGTGCTTTGGTAGGAAAAATATTTGGTTCATATCAGAAGACCTGGATTTTAGTTTCGGTACTGATATTAGCGAGTTGTGTGGGATGATGCTGGTCATTTTACCTCTCTGCATCTTCCCTTGATAAGATGATTCTGTCTTTCCTATCTCATATCTCACCTAGGAAAACATGATGACATATGTTGAAAGTAATTTGAAAGAGCTAATTTCAGTATGAAAGAGCCAAGATCATAGTATTTGAAGTTCTTCAGTAACCAGAAGAAGATGATTTTAAAAAAGAGGAAACAAACAAAAATACTGATTTATCTGCCATTGTATTATACTTAAAATGCATCTATTTTCCAAGTCAGTAGATAATTTTTATTTAGTTCATTTCCAGTTAACTCATACATAGAGCTAGAAATTCTTTCTTTGACCATGACCACTTCTCTGTCCAATTACTTTGCCCTGCTTACTAGGATCTTTTATCTAAAGCCTTTTATTGGTTTTCAAATTGATTTAAGATATCAACCTTGAAGCTGACCTTTCCCACTGGTAGATTTTGTGTGTGTGTGTGATAAAAGTCAGATAGGGAACTTAGAATTTAGTATATTGGAGTGTTACTAATTTTCTGAATTATATTTTGTTTTATTAAAATCTGCCAAACTCTGTTTCTTAAGTGAAAACATTCAGTTTCATACACAATGGTGATGATCCTAGAAAATAGCTGAGATTTAAGTAGGATTTTACTAAAACAGGAAATTAATCCCAGCAAACATTATAAAGTTATCTTAAAAAAGACTTGTTATGCATACATTTCATACCCATATACTTTGTAATTACATTTCCTTACTTTGGGCAGCAGAGCAATTCGCTGAAGTTGCAGTAACAGATCATTTCACATCCCTTCCCATCCCAGAAGTGATCCTGGACATTTACATCGATCTTTGTCAGGTCAGTTACTCCCTCCGGAAGGTTGTGACAGTTGCGATCTTTTAGTGTCTTTCTGTAGCAAGAGAGGCGATTGGCAGGCATGGCATGGACTCCTAGCAGCAAAGTTAGCCCAACAGTGACAGCAAGTACTATAAATTTCATTTTGGCTTTTTGCCCTAAGATAGAAGAGAAAGCAAAATGTGTCAGTGTTTGTTTTTTAAAAAGATGGAATTCATCTGAACATAAAGTTCTGTAGCATTCTCATAAATATTTGGAAAGAAAGATTGGGAGTTGATCTTTTCTACTCTCTTCTTTGTGTTTCTCAAAGCGTAATTTTGTGACTGTTGACAATAAAAATCTCTTAAAATAATTGTTAAAAATCAAATGCCTGGGTTCCACAACAAAATATTAAATAAATGCTGGGGATCAGGAAGAGGTGATAGTAAGAGCCAGAATCTGCATTTATAAGTACCCAAAGTAATTTTTTATTTTTAGTATATTCAGTAGAGAAAAACTGCTTTTTAAGGTGGTAAAACTCCAGTGAATTTCTAGAACAAATACCATCATCAAGTTCAGTGGTTCTTTTTTTTTTTTTTTTTTTTTTTTTTGTCGGAGAGAGAGAGAATGCAAAAGCATGCATAAGCATGGGGAGTGGCAGGCAGAAGGAGAAGAAAAATCAGGTTCCCCGCTGAGCAGAGAGCCTGATTGGGACTCAGTCCCAGGACCCTGGGTTCATGACTTGAGCCAAAGGCATACACTTAACCAACTGAACTACTCAGGTGTCCCAAGTTCAGTGGTTCTTGATTTGGATATCCTAACAAAAGCAATGTCAAAGAACTTGGGTTCCACTCTAACAGGAACAAAAAAACCTATCTATTATGACATTGAGAAATAATATTCTATACATATACTTATAGTTTAATTAAGTATTTGAAACCTACCAGAAATATTTTGGGGCTCATTTTTCTTGCAAATTTTTAGTAATATTGTGAATTTTTGTCTCATGTAGTTTAACTTCATTGAAAACAGAGGCTTCAATTTCCCCTAATAAACATTTAGCCAGTTTTTGAACACCTACCATGCCAGGGAGATCATTATTGGCTAAATCAATATATTCTACTGATGCAGTTCTAACATTTCCCTGACTGTAAAACATTTTTCTGTAGCTTCTACCAACCAGTCCCAGTTTGAGCTCTTGGGGTCATACCAAACAAATGTTTTTCTTTTCCAGGAGAGAATTCTTTAAATATAGTATTTGCATACAACTGTGGAATATTCATCATCTACTTTTTCCCACCTTTTTTTCATCATCTGTTTAGGTTCAGGCTTCTCTGGCTTTCAGGTTAGACTTGAAAAGAATGGGGGCTATTTTAGCAAAGGAAAACTGGCAAAATAGTGGAGGAACCAGAATCAGAACCCTCAGCCATTCAGATTTCATCTCGTTGACAGATGCCAAAAGATCTTTCCTACCACGGAATATTAAAAAGAGGAGAAGACACATACGTATATTGTACTTTGAAAGAAAACAATGTTGTTGGAAGGAAATTTTTGTGTGAAGTTTTCAGTGACTAGATACACCTCAAAGGTGAATTAATTTAGGTAATATTATGGATTTTTTAAAAAGACAATTATTTTTAGAACAGTCTTTGGTTTACAATAAAATTGAAAGGGAGGTACAGATTTCCCACATACCCTCTACCCTCACACATGCATAGTCTCCTAAATATCAATATCACTCATCAGAATGGTAATTTTTTTTCCAAAGATGAACCTGCATGGCATATCATAATCTCCCAAAGGCCATAATTTCATGTGTGGTGTTGTACAGTCTGTGGGTTGGACAAATGTATAATGACATTTGTCCATCATTACACTATCATACAAAATATTTTCACTGCTGTAAAAATCCTCTGTGATCTGCCTATACTTCTCTGCCTCCTTAAATTCTGGTAAACTAATGTTGTTTTTTATTGTTTCTATAGTTTTACCTTTTTCAGAATGTCATATAGTTTAATCATACAATATGAGTCATTTCAGATTGGCTTCTTTCACTTAGTAAAATGCATTTAAGTTTCCTCCATGTCTTTTCATGTCTGAACAGCTCGTTTCCTTTAGTACTAAATAATATTCTATTGTCTGCATGTACCACAATTTATCTATCCATTTACCTACTCAAGGAAATCTTGGCTGCTTCCAATTTTTGGCAATTATGAATAAAGCTGCTGTAAAGATCCATGGACCAGTTTTTGTGTGGTCATCAGTTTTCAGCTCCTGTGGATAAATACCAATGAGCACAATTGCTGAATTATATGGTAAAACTATGTTTAGTTTTGTAAGAAACTTCTAAACTGTATTCTAAAGTGACTGTACCATTTCACATATCCACCAGCAACATACGAGAGTTCTTGTTGTTTCATATCCTCACCAGTATTTGTTGTTGTCAGTGTTCTGGATATTGGCCATTCTAGTAGGTGTGTAGTGATCTCATTGTTGTTTTAATTTGCATTTCCTCGATGACATATGATGTGGAGTGTCTTTTCATATACATATTTGCCATCTGTATATATTCTTTGCTGAAGAATCTGTTGAGGTCTTTGGCCTATTTTTAAAATCAGGTTGGTTGTTTTCTTATTGTTGAGTTTTTAAGAGTTTTTTGTATATTTTGTATATTTTAGCTAACAGTCCTGTATTAGCTGTGTCTTTTGCAAGTATTTTCTCCCAGCCTATGGCTTATCTTCTAATTCTCTTGACATTTTCTTTCACAGAGATATTTTAACTGTAATAAAGTTTAACTTACCAATTATTTTTTTCATGGATTATATCTTTGGTGTTGTATCTTAACAGGCATAATCATATCCAAATGTTGATTTTATTCAACAGAGTTTTATAGTTTTTCTCATATAAATCTTCTAAATATTTTGCCAGACTTATACCTAAATAATTTATTTTGGGGGGTGGTGCTAATGTAAATGGTTTTGTGTTTTTAATTTCAAATTTCACTTATTCATTGCTTGTATGTTGGAAAGCAACTAATGCTTGTATATTAACCTTGTATCCTGCAACTTTGCTATAATCACATACTAGTTGCAGAAGGTTTTTTGTTGATTCCTTTAGATTTTCTGTATAGACAGTCGTGTCATCTGAAAAGAAAGTATTATGTCTTCTTTCCTACTTTATGTACCTTCTGTTTCCTTTTCTTGTCATTATATTAGCAAGGACTTTCAGTATGAATTGAAAATGAGTGGTGAGATGGCACATTCTTGCCTTGTTCCTGAGCTTAGTAGGAAAGATTTAAATCTGTTGCCATTAAGGATGTTAACTGTAGGTTTTTGGGTAGATAGTCTTTTTTTTTTTTTTTTTTAAGATTTTATGTATTTATTTGAGAAAGAGAGAGAGAGAGCACAAGTCAGGGAAGGGCAGAGAGAGAGGGAGAGCAGGGAGCCCGATGCAGAGCTCGATGCAGGGTTCCATGCAGGGCTCGATGCAGGGCTTGATCCCAGTACCCTGGGATCATGACCTGAGCTGAAGGCAGACGCTTAACCAACTGAGCTACTCAGGCACCCCTGTAGATACTCTTTATCAAGTTGAGAAAGTTCCCTTCTATTTCTCGTTTACTGAGAGTTTTTATCATGCATCTGTGTTAGGTTTTCTCAAATGATTTTTCTGCATCTATTGATACTATCATGTGGATTTTTTAGTCTATTGATGTGATGGATTACATTAATTAATTTTCAAATGTTGAACTAGCCTTGCAGACCTTAATCACACTTGACTGTGGTATATCATTCTTTTTATACTTGTTTGGATTCAATTTGCTAATATTTTATTAGGGATTTTTGTATTGATATTCACGAGAGATATTGGTCTATAGCTTTCTTTTCCTGCAATGTCATTGTCTGGTTTTGGTATTACAGTAATGCTGGCCTCATAGAATGAGTTAGGAAGTATTCCCTCTGCTTCTATCCTCTGAAAGAGATTGTAGAGAATTGGTATAATTTCTTCCTCAAATATTTCATAAAATTTAGAGGGGAACATATTTGAGCTTGGTGCTTTCTGTTTGGGAAGTTATTAATTATTAATTCAATTTCTTTAATAGATATAGGTCTATTCAGATTGTGTGAATTTTGGCAAACTGTGTCTTGCAAGGAGTTGATTCACTCATTTAGTTTAACAGATTTATGGGCATTTAGTTTAACAGATTTATGGGCACAGATTTATGGTTCAAAGTATTGCTTTATGATCCTTTCAATTTCCATGGGATCTGTAGGATGTTCCCTCTTTCATTTCTGATATTAGTAATTTGTGTCCTCTTTTTCTTAGTTTACTTGGCTAGAAGCTTATTGATTTTTTAAATCTTTTTAAAGAACCAGCTTTTGGATTCATTGATTTTTCTCTATTGATTTCCTGTTTTTAATTTCACTGATTTCTGTTCTAATCATTTTTATTAAGGTATTGATTTTTATTTTCTTTTAATTGTAAAAAAAACTTCAAATACATACAAAATAGATATAATGTTTAATGAACCTCAATGTACTCATCTGTTAGCTTCAATTTTTATCACCCCATAGCTTCCCTTATTTCACCTGTACCTCCACTTTTCTTTCTCCCTCAATATTGATTACTTTGAAGCCAATTCTAGTCATCTCATCTTATCCACGAACATTTCAGTATAGTTCACTAAAGGTAAGAACTTTTAAAAATCATAACACAATATAAAAAAATGTAATGTAAAAAAATGTAAAAAAAATGCTAAATCATAAGACAATGGAACAAAGTGCTAAAAAAATTTAATAATTTCTTCATATCGTCAAAAAGCCAGTCATTGTTTGAATTCCTAGTTTTCTCCTCTTATTTTTTGATTGAAGTATAGTTGACATATATTAGTTTCAAGTGTACAACATAGTGGTTCAGCAGTTACGTACATTATGAAATGCTCTCCATGATAAATGTAGTTACCATCTGTCATTATACAAAATTATTACAATATTATTGACTATATTCCCTATGCTGTACTTTTTCATCCTTGTAACTTATTTATTTGATAACCAGAAATGTGTACCTCCTAATCCCTTCTACCTGTTTTGCCTATTCCCCAATCCCCTTTCCTCTGGCAACCACTGATTTTCTATATTTATAAATATTGTTTCTCATTGTTTTTGTTTGTTTTTTAGATTCCACATATAAGTAAAATCATATGACATTTGTCTTTCTCTGACTTATTTCACTTACTGTTCTAATTCTTATTACTCCTTTTCACCTGCTTACTTTGGAGCAAATTGAATTTGTTCTAGTTTCCCAAAGTGAAAACTGAGATAATTGATTTTAGATATTTCTTCTATTCTAATATTTGCACTTAATGCATTCATAAATTTCCCTCCAAGCATTGCTTTTGCGACATCCCACACCTTTTGATTAGTTGTTTTCCTTTTCATTATTTCAAAATATTCTAAAAGTTCTCTTGAGATTTCCTTTTAGTCCCAACGTGCTATTTAGAATTGTGTTAATCTCCACCTATTTGGGGATTTTCCAGTTATCTTTCTTTTTTTTTTTTTAATTTATTTGACAGAGAGAGATCACAAGCAGTCAGAGAGGCAGGCAGAGAGAGAGGAGGAAGCAGGCTCCCTGCTGAGCAGAGAGCCCGATGCGGGCTCGATCCCAGGACCCTGAGACCACGACCTGAGCTGAAGGCAGCGGCTTAACCCACTGAGCCACCCAGGCGCCCCACCAGTTATCTTTCTGTTATTGATTTTTAGTTTAATTCCATTATGGTCTGAGGGAAGAAATTGTATGATTTCTATTCTTTTCACTTTGTTAAAGCATGTTTTATGGCCCAGAATGCAATCTATCTTGATGTATGTTCCATGTAAGTTTGAGAAGAATGTGTATTCTGCTATTATTGGGTGAAGTAGTCTGTAGATCTCAATTATAACTGGTTCATTTATGGTGTTGTTGAATTCTACTATGTCCTTACTAATTTTCTGCCTGTTGGATTTGTTCCATTTTTGTGGGGTGTTGAAATCTATGATATATGGATAGTGAATTCATCTGTTTTTTTCTCACAATTCTATCAGTTTTTACCTAATGCAGTTTGATGCTCTTTTGTTAAGCACATACTTGTTAACAACTGTTATGTCTTATTGGAAAATTAACCCCTTTATCATTATAGAATATTTTACTTTATTCTTGATAACTTTCTTTTGATGTCTACTCTGTCTCAAATTCATATAGCTACTCCTGCTTTCTTTGGTTAGTATTAGTATGGTGTATTTTTCTCCATACACTTACTTTTTATCTTTTTAAAAAGTTTTTATTTTTAAGTAATCTCTACACCCAATGTGGGGTTTTAATGTACAACTCCAAGATCAAGAGTCACACTCTCCTCCAACTGAACCAGCCAGGTGTCTCTATTATGTGTCTTTATACTTGAAGTAGGTTTCTTGTAGATAACATATAGTTGGGTCATGTT